AGAAATATGAGTCTTCACAAGTGCCTTGCAATATATGGAGATGTCACTTCGCAATCCAACTTATGTGTAATAAATTAGAATAATTTTATATAGTGCTTCATCTTTCCTGTAAGCTAATCTTATTTTTCTGTGATGCATGCAATTGGTGCAGGCTAGTATGTTAGATTCTCAGTCTTAATCTACAGTTGCTCTTGAGGGAGCCTGTGGAGGTCAGATTGGAGTGTGGTGTGATGGTCTGTGATTAATAACTGGCTCTGGATGTCTAAGGATCCCTGATGTAGTGTTTGTCAGTGTCCTTAATGGGAAAGCTTATGTACAATCAATTCAGCCTCCAGATTTCAGGCTCTAGTGAAGCCTGTTTGGGTTTGGGAAAAAAATGTGCCATATTTGCTTCTAAAGTTTTTGGGAACAAGGTCAGCTAGCGAAGAGCCAGAATCTGGGAAAACAAGAGTGGTCACCAAAGAAATTAGACACTGGCATCACATGCATAGCAAAGTCAGGAACATTTCACTGAGGAAACCAGAGAATAGTTCCAAGTCTCTCTGAGGTCATTATAACCTGGACACCAAATCCCAATAAGGACATCACAAGAAAACCACAGAACAATATCCTTGATTGATAGAGATTCAAAAGTTCTCAACAAGAGCTAGCAAACTGAATTTAACAACACATTAAAAGAATAACTTGCCATGATCAAGTAGGATTTATCCTTGTATTAAATATCTACAGATCAATAAGTTCTATAGGGACACGTATTAATTGAATCAAGGGAAAAAATCATATGATTCCTACCACTAGATGCAGGAAAACATTTGAATAATTGCAACATCTCTCTGTGCTAAGGACAGGCAACAAGTGAGATATATAAAGAATGTATCTCAACACAACAAAAGTGATTTATAATACACCCACAGCTGACACTGTATATGATGGTGAGAGACTGGAACCCTTTAGATATAAAAGAAAGCCTAGTTTGAATTTTCTTTAATTTTTAGCAAATTTACAGCAAAAGCAATGGATGATCCTTAAAATACATATTGTATTTGACATACTGATTGATTGATTAGTTGATTAGTTGCTTGAGGTGCTGAGGATTAAACTCAGAGCCCTGTAAATGCTAGGTAAGCACTACCACAAAGCTACATGCAGCCCCTAGAATATGTATCCTTAGTATTTCCATTAGAGCTGAGCTTGTTATTGGCCTTTCTCTAGCCACAGATGTTTATCACACAACTTTCTCTCTTCAGAAAATAATTGTAACGAAATAAAAGTCGGGCTATGTGGGGCCCTGAAGACAGTTTCTATAGCCCAATCCTACATAATGTAAAGCTTTATAAGGCCAGGTAAATACAAATAGTTTTTATTTTCAAACACTTTCATGAATTATGATTTACCCGCTCTGTGCAGATTTGGAAGTAGACAGGAAATCCTATATCTAACCTTTGTCTCATTTTTTAATGTTTAATTAATTCCCTTTGTCCTGCCCTAAATGAGCAAATTATCTCACCACCTCTATATATAATTAAAGATACCAGAAAATCTTATTACTTCTGATTCCACTAATTCACAAATTGTGATAACTCTAACAAGGCCTGGACTGCAAAAATAATTAGATAAGCAAATTAATAGGGTAAACAGATTGTAGGTGTGTAACTCAATCTGCTTAGGAAAACAAATTGTTTCAAGCATTTTAAATGTTTCCGTTATATGCCTGCTAAGTAAAGGGGCTTCTAAGAAAACAGCTGCCTGGTACACATTTTTATGTAGCTCCTTGTGATGAAATGAGACCCTTCACGGTTCTCTGCCGGCACAGAGAAAGCTGTTAGGAGGCTCTGGAGATCAGTCTCCTCCTGAAGATGCTCTAGCATCTTCTCTGGTTTTGCCTCCATTTCTGTGTGTCCCGTAGGCATGGGCTGCATATCCACTTAGTCCTGCTCTCCAGCCTCGGTTCTTTAAGGAGGAAGGCCACAAAATTATAGGGAGCCACTCTTCAAATCCAGAGTTACTTTCCTTTACTCCTGCAACTAAATATTCCAGGGCCTTTTCTGTGGGTGAACTGGGATGGTATGTTCTCAGAAGCACAACTAGAGGTGATGAAAGTGTGTTTTCTAAGATGAACTTTGTAGCTCAGGCCTTGTAGGGCTCACATGATGACTTCTTTTTCTTGTTATTATTACATAATCTGCATATTGCCAGGTTCTTTTGTTCACTTAGCCACCTTTGGTCACCACTCTTGATTAGATCCAGAGGATACGTTAATTCCATAAATAAATAATAGACAGCCTTTTAAATTTAATTTTAAACAATTAAATAGTGCTTATCACTTTTGGATTCTGTTGTAAGCACGTAATAAAGTACAACTCAGTTGATTTTTGTTCTCCAGTGTGCTTGCTGTGTGATGGGGCACTTTTAATAAGTAGCGGTCTGAGGAACTTGAGTCCAACTGGGAAAATCTGATAGGATCACACTTGAATGGCTCTTGGAGTATAAGGAGGAGAGTTTTCGGTGAATAATCAGTGTCATTTATGAGGCAAACTGTAAGGGTTGGTGAGGGCAGAGACATGCTCATGCATACCCAAGGAGGGTGTCAAGAAAGTCGCCCTGGACTACAAGGACTCATGTTTGTTGGAAGTGGGAAATAGTGAGTGGAAGGGGTTACAGATCAAGATTAGAAGGTATTCAGATAATATGTTTTTTAAAACTCCAAGAGGCAAAAGAAGGCAGTCCAAAAGCATAAAGATGTATTCTTATCTTAATGAGTATATTTGGCAATTAAGCAACTTGGCACTTGGCAGTGTTAACTCTGTAGTGTAATACACTGTCAGTTCAAAAGTCTATAAAAAAAACCTACTGGATAAGAAGTGATTTCTTATGAAGAACAATGTAGAATTGATATGATTTATATGAATCATCCCATAGATGGTTATTCAGCAACTATTTCATTCCAGCTCTGCCCTAGGTACTGTACAAAGATAAACCCACAGTACAAAGATAAACCCATCATCCTGGCACTTTATTTTATCGGGCTTGGAGGCTGAGAATGTGAAAAACAAGCAACTGTATTTGCCTGAGGAGCACAGAGTAGGGAAGAGGGGTGCAGTGCCATGGCAGGACATAGGATGGGCAGGGAAGTCCTCCTGGAAAGGGAGTCTCAGAGTGAGGAACCTGGGATGGAGAGGCTCCAGGCAGGACAGACGCATGTACAGGGCTAGGATGGGAGAGAGCACTGGGATAATGACAAAAGGGAAGGGTGGGAATCTCGGGAACAGAGGAGGGAGAACATGCCTGCGGTGGGCCAGAGGGAAGGACCGGGCATAGGACCATTCACATAGTTCTGTAAGAACTTTAAGTCTGAGTGGAAATCCCTGGAGTGTTTGCACAGAGAATAGCACAATCAACTTTGAATCTAATTTCATAGTTATTTTGATAGCATTACTGGAGGAGGAAGAGCAGAAGGTTACTGTGGTGTCCAAGTGGAAAATGATGGGGCTTGAACCACAACAGGAATGGTGCAGGTGGAGAGGTGGCCAGATAACAGTCATACTCCCTTGTGATGTCAGCTGAATTTGCCAATGGATGTAACACAGGATGTGAGAGAGAAGGCTTCAGATTTTGATCAAGGTCCCTGGAGGGTCAGGCCTCTGTGCGCTGAGGTGTCTCGTGCTTGTCAGCTGATCGACTCTAGAGCAGCTTATGCTTGCTGCTGAGCTGTGTTCACATGTGTGACACTTCTTTCTCCTCCTCTGATCTATAGAAGGGACAGAGTGTGGGCAAAGGTAATAAGATCGAGTGTTTGTACCATGACGGGGTAACTCACCTTTTTAGAAAAATCTCTTTTTGACTTTGAAGAAACATAGCACCATGCTGAGAAGTCACCTATGGAGCAGGCCAAAAGGCAAGTACCTGAGAATGGTCACTGGCTGGTAGCCACCCAGACCCTGAGACCCTTGTCCCAGAAGTCTGGAAAGAACTGAATGCCACCAATAGTCAGTAGACCTTATCCTGAAATGAGACCTTTTCTTGCTATGAGATTGTGTGCCTAGCCAACATCTGGAGTACGGTCTTTTGGAGCCCAGAAGCTGAGGACCCAGGGTAACCCCCTCCTAATAAATATGTTTACTTCTGGAAGAGACATGAGTTACTAGCAAGGAGATAATGCAAAAGTGTGCAGATTCTTTGACTAATTTAGAAAAGAACTACTGCTGTTATCCAGCAGTCCCTGTACCAGTTATATACTCAGAAGAAATGAAATCAGTGCGAACACGCCTATGTATATTGTGGCATTATTCACAGCCTCCAAGATAGGGAATCATCCTAATGTTCATCAACAGAAGAATGGATAAAGAATGGACAAAGAATAGATAAAGAAAGTGTGAGTTACATATATTAACTCTAGAGAGGCAGGAAATCCTGTGATTTGTGACAATATGGACTAACTTGGAAGACATTATATGAAGTGAAATAAAGGCACAGACAGGTGTCACATGACCTCACTTATATTTGGAATGTAGAGTGAGACTCAAAAAATTAGATAATACAGAGACCACAGGGGTGGCCAGAGAGATACGGGTGAAAGAATACAGTGTTCCCATTGCAGGAATGAATTCAAGAGCTGTATGTGCATCATGGCCTCTATATTTAATAATAAAATAGAAGACTATCACCCTCCAAAAATATGTAGAAAGATACATGTGTGAGCTAATGCAGACATTAAATAGCTTAATTTAACCATTTCAAAATACCTACATGTATCAAAACATTGTGATGCATACTATAAATGTATGAAATTTTATTTATCCATTGAAAACCAAATAGAAACCAAAATAACAAGCAAGCATTGTTTTAAGATCCTAAGCTGGTAATGCTATTGTTACAAACCGTAAATACATGGGTAGAAAAACTGGCTTTTATTTGAACATATTTATCACGAGATATAGGAGACTCAAATAGATTGTGCAAATAGATACAAGAATCTATTTAGGAAAGAGGTCTGGCGGTACCTGTACAGGGTTCATCAGATGGTGGTGGCACGCAGAGCCATGAGAACCAACCAGACAACCAGGGAAGAGTGAGGAAGGGCAGGCACGCTTTTGCACAGTGCCATGCTAGTAACTCATGTCTCCATGGGAAGGCAAGGAGAATGTCCTCAGAGCCCCGCTGTGAGACCTCAAAGACAAGAGCGGGCAGCCAAAGAATCTGAGAAGGAGTGCCCGCTCCACCGGAGAGGGATGAGAGGCTGCACCTAAAGCCAAGGGACAAACAAAAACAAAAGAAAAAGACAGAGTGAGAGAAAAGTCAAGGGAGATACTATTCAGGAGGAGAAAGCGATCAACTCCCCAAAGCTGTGAAAGGCCACGAAAGGGGAGACCTCAGCACTCCAGCCTCTCAGTCCCTGGGCATACTTTGCTGCTACAGGCATGTGGTGGACCTTGTCACTGGCTGTACCCAAGCTTCCCCTGTGACCTCTTTTCCACGCCTGCTCTGCACTATTCTTCTCTAGCACTATCCCTCCAGAATTCCTTTGCGACCTCTCCCCAGGTCAGCTAGGTCTCCAGAGCATGAATCCTCCTCTCTCTCCCTGCTGCACTGCCTACCCGCTGGCCATAGTCTTAGGTTCGCCCTTCCCCACTTTCTGTGACCTGTTCACTGACTAGGTCCCCATGGAGATGTGAGTGAGCTGCTCTTGCACCTTGGAAACACAGCTCTGTCACCATGCACTGCATGCTTCATCTCTCTTGTCTGCTGGGGACATTGTCCAGCGTTTCTCCCTCACTAGCCAGTGTCAACACATCTGAGGCACCTAGGGTGCATTCTGCTAACATTTTTGTATATTTTTAATTGTACATTTAATTATACTTACACTTTAATCGATAGTGTTGGAGTCTTGTAAATAGTTTGAATAATAATTCTCAGTAAAAATTAAAAGTAATATTATGTCTGAAGATTTTATTATAAAATGGGTTATCTTTTCTATCTTGTCCTTTCTTTCCCAGGCTTTGCTACAATTTAAAATACTATAGTAAAGGACACCAGTTTATCTGAATGGTGGTTTTCAGGTGCTCTCCCCATTAGGCTATAAGCTCTGCAAGTGGGAGAAAGACTGTACTTTGGGTGTTCACTACAGTAAATCGTATGTCATGTGGCATAGGTAAGTAAATATTTCATAAATGCCTGCTGATTAAATAAATGGATGAATAAATGCCTTGCAGGAATAACAAGCAGGAAAGGTCTTTACATGAGATCTGTATCCCCAAAGGGAGATCTCACAGGCCGAGTGATATCAGTGATCTCAGATGATCCTAAAAATTTAGAAATATTTTGATAGACACTTCTGTGGCCTTAATTGAAGAACTACAAGCTTTCTCTGAGGTGACTTTTGCAGAGAGTTTCAAGATCGCTCCATTAAGCACACAGGATGCAGTAACGAGCTTGGCAGGCCTTTCCCTTGGAAATGGAGCTATCGGGAGGTTCCCGCTGACACAATGCTGCTACATCTGCTTCTTAGCAAGAGGCAGCTGGTCTGGGATGAAACTTAAACCTTTATCTAGGCAGGTGCCAAGATTCTCTATTGCTGGAGACAATAAAGAAGTCTGAGAACCAAAAGTAATACATTAACAGATAAGATACGTCAGAGAAAAGCAGACCTAGCATTGGAGTGTGTCTGATTTATTGTAAATACACCACGTGCCAGTCAGGGTTTTATGACAGGAATGTGCACAGGAATCTCTGTCCTCCATCTGCCATCAGAAAGCACTCTAGCCTCCCCGCTTTTCACAGGTGGGCATGTGGCTCCCGCAGTCACAAGCAGTTCAGAGGGCTGTGCCTCACTGAGGCTTGTGCACAAGGCAGCACAGATCGAGTGAACCAGCACATGTGGCTGTGGGCTCTGCTGACCATACAAAATGGGCAACCCGGTAGGAGGACACCACGGCTACCAAAGAGCCTTCTCCCAGGGCCCAAAGCCTCATTACCATGAACAGGACATGCTCAACCACAGAGATATGTTTGCTTCTAATTCTAGAAGTCAAAGTGGGAGGTCAGGATGTCTGCAGGATGGGGTCCTTCTGCAGGATTTTCCTGGGATTGTACTGGGGTCTTCCTTGTGTATCCTCATGCAGTCCTCTCTCTGTATTTGTGTGTCCTAGTCTCTTCTTAGGAGGAGATTGGGGTCTCCCTAATTATTCCCTTTCAATTTAATCATCTCTTGAAAGACACTGTCTCCAAATATAGTCACATTTTGAGGAAATGGGTGTTGAAGCTGAAACATGGATTTTGGGTGACACGATTCAGTCCATAACAGCCCAGCTGAGGTCCAAATCAACATCCAGTGTCAGCTGCAACGTCTGAGGAAGGTGTAAAGGTGCTTCCAGAGGACCTGGGTCCTGGCCACAGCATACCTGGACCCAAGCACTGAGGACTGGGGATATGCTGTCACTCTAGCCTTGGTGAGCCTCTTCCCTGCAGGGTCCCTGAGCAGAGCAGATGCATGTTTAGGAGCTCTGAGTTTGGGGATGCTGGTTACTCTGCAACAGTGACTGAAATACCCTTGGCCACAGAAGGTTGGGGAACCTTCTTGTTATCACTTTCAATCTTTCCACCCAATGGGGGTACATTTTGCAGAAGAGGAAGGCAAGGCACATGTAGGATTAAGTGAACTGCCCAAAGACACACAGATGCCAAGTGATGATGTGGATTTGAAACAAGCCTGGGCAGCTCTCCAGCTTGTGGCCTCATGGAGTCCATCTAGACAACACCGATTCTTGGTGCCTGTGACCACTCATGCCCATGCCAGTACTGCTTTTCCCTGAATTCATTGTCACAGGGTCCCTTCCTTGGCCAGCTCAGAGGACATCTGGGGAGGCTGTATCCCAGGCAAAAACTTTAGCAATAGCCACTGTATCCCACAGATGGCCAAATGGTCAAAGCCTGAGAGCCAGATGGCTTCAGACAGCTGTGCATTTGGTACTTCTAATGGCTGCACATCTGGAGGAAATTCAGAAGCCCTGAAGCGCAGGCCGCACTACACAGACAGGTGTGCACAGGCAGTCCCTCTGCACAGTGCTCTCGCAGCTGCAGAGCGCTCACCGGACCCTACTCGCCCCACACAAGCCATTTGCAAGCTTCTCGCTCCAAGGCACAGACACCGTTCCTCTGGTCTCCACTGCAGGGACTTGCTTCTACATGACGAGTCTGCAGCAAAGGCAGAGGGGAAACCCAGCTTACGGTTATTTTTAACTGTAATCACTGGCTGGTTTTTTAAAAAAAGAGAAATGGAGAAAGCATTCTTCCCCTTTCCTCTCTCTCAACATCATCTGGAAAAGACACCATGTTCTATTCTGGGACTCACTCCTTCTTAGGTAAAGAAAGAAAATCTCATTTCTTACCCACAGCTGTGGCAAAAGTGGACCAGCGGCAGGAGGGCAAAGCTCACGGTCCCTTTTCCTCCTCGTCTTTTGCTGTTGGAGTGGCAGGAGCTGCTGTGGGGCGCAAGGCTTTCCTCAGAGTCCTTGCCCCTGTGCTGCGAATCGTAGCCAGGCAGCTCTGTTGCTGAGGGCTGTGGGCTCCGGAGCCTCTCCAGAGGCTCTTTCCCTCCCACAGCCCGCCTGCCACTGTGCAGGCTCTGCAGGCTCTGGAGAATTCAACTGATTCCCACTATCAGAGCATCAAATCCAAGTTTGACCTACATTACAGGGCTAATGGGTCATGAGCATACACTGGACCATGACAAATTGATCTTTCTGGTGTTAAAGGTGTCAAGGGAGGTATACTGCAGTGATTAATAATTTATCCGACAGATAAAAGCTTTCCTTGTGGTCTTTGTTGCACTTGAGGGTCCAAGGTTTTATTGTTCTGGGTGCCAGAAGTACCTGGGGAGGTGCTGACAATTAGAACTTGAACACAAACTGATAGTAGCAAACTCCTGTCAGTCAGTCTTTCTCTCCACTCAAAAATGCCTCAAAAAGCAGTTGAGGCAGAAAAGGAGGCAAATATCAAATCAAGACAGAAGGAATAAATTTTGTAGTCTTCAGAGTGATTCCTATTCTACCACACTGAGGCCTGGCTTTTAGGGATTTGGGAGCTTCTCTTTTGTTTCCTTATACCGAGCAATGTAATAAGATGATTCAGACATAAAATAAAACTTTTCCTAAATTTCCATGGAAATCCAGCCTCTAGTACAGCCCATGACAGGCAGGTACTGTAGCTTCGCTTATATGAAGGGAAGAAGGGAGCCATGAACACGTGAGTGAGTGCATGAGTGAACAGGGTCGTTTCGTCAATTACTACTTTGGACAGATATATACTTTTGTCTTTTTTTGAGACAGGCTGGCCTTGAACTCACTTTGTAGCCCAGGTAGACTGGAAATGACAGCAACCCTCCTATTTCAGCCTCTCCAGAGCTAGGATTGTGGGTGTAAGTCATTACGCCCCCTTGGTTACATAGTTTGAATAGTTTAAACATGGGGAAATTCATCCGAAGCAATAGCAAATATAGAGACTTTAATTTGTTTCTTTTATTCATTTTTTAAATAAAGTCTCTCAATGTTTCACATCCTTTCTCGTCTCCCTTATGCAAGTTTCCATTAAATGAATAGGAAATTAGATCCTGAGTTGTATTTCGGAGTGTTGGGAAGCGTGGGATCAAATGAGAGGCAACGTGTCACTCGTGTCACAAGCTTCCGACTGAGTCTGGGCATGTCAGGGAAGTGCTGTGCGCCGGGTCCCATTTTTGACAGGCTGTGCTTAGAGAAACCAAGGAGTTTGTGTTATTTGAGATTGCTCCATGCCTCTCTTCTAGGAGAAACTCTGGAATAGACTGGGAGAAACTGAAGAGGGATGATTTTTAAAGGACAAAAGTGTATTTGGGGTCCTGCGGGGGAGCTTGTTGAATTTAGGATTCTTGGCAAGTTATACCATGCATGGAGAAATAAACCATTTCGCAGTTAGATGACGTGGGTCAGAGGCTAGAGTACTCTCCAGGCAGGGCCCTCCAGGAGCACATTCTGCAACCGGAAACAATGCCAAGACAGACATTCTGGAAGCCCAGATCAGCCAGGGCCCAGAAGGTGTTATACAATGAGAGGCAGTAAGCCTGCGAGCAACAGGGAAGCCAGGATTGATTGCAAGTAATCTCATTCTCAGGCCACAGGTCGTTGTCAAACTGCAGCCCAGAAAAATAGTATATTGATTTTCTGAGTCAAAAAAGGAAGTTATGTCAATGTAGCATTAAATAGATAGTCATGGAGTTGCAACATCCCTAAAAATGGAAATACCGTACATCAGAGGTAGAAGTGAACTCTCTGGGTAATCTGCTTTTTCCTGTTCTTACCACTATCAGAAAAACACACACCTACCATTGTTACAACACAGTTTGAGTAACCGTCATGTTTTGTAAATAGGACATTTGTGGACAGCATGTACTTTCAAATCCCAGAGTCATTCGAGTTCTTTATTAGCTGTAACCCTTAAGGTTGAGATCTTGAATTTTTTCATGGCCTATCATCTGAACTTGGGAACACTGTTTAAACTCTGTGCTTAGTTTTAATTTTTATTTTGATTTAATAAGAGGTACACATAAAATCAAAGTGAGAATCAAGTGATGGATGAGGGCCGTTAAGAACCACACTTGGCACATGTGCAATGTTATAAGCAGAGCGTGTTTGCGATTATCCTCACTATCTAATAAAGACACACAAAGAGAAGGGCTCTAAATTCACTTTGACTCTTAAGTTTTTACCTTGTTCTCAGAGAGGATATGTAATCAGATGCATTCTTATTCCAAGTTCACCATCTTTGTATTACAGTCACCTAATTTGTTGGCAAATCCAAGTGGTTCTCATTCTCAGGAGACCTAGCATTGTTGGATGGGTACCTTCACTGCTGCCTCCGTGGCCTGAGTCACTCTGATGACCTGTATACAGGACCTTCTCCTGATTTATCCTTCCACATCAACTGGCCTTCTCAGAGCAGCTAGCATAAAGACACAAGCCTGACTCAGAGGTGGCACTGACACACCCAGCCCCATGATCCCACATACCATTCAGACCCAAAGGTCAAGTCCTCAGGGCCTCCAGATGCCTGGAGCCCATACCACCCTGGCTTCCTGTCGGTGTCTGGGTGTCTGTCTCCCCTCCTCCTGGTCCCAGCTGTCTCCCCAGCTCTCTGTCATCTTGCCTCCTGGAGCAACCGACACCCTCTGTCTGCCTGGAGCACTCCTGTTGTGCATCATGTGGTGGTTACTCCTGCCTCTCCCACTCCCACCCATCAGGTTTCCCACCCTTGTCTCTGCTGTTACCTCTTCTGAAGTGCCTGCCACCTTCCCACAGGCTACTCACTGACATGTCACCATTGGGAAACCAGGGTGGCGATTTGCGTTGCTTTGTTCCTGCTGGATCCATCGTGCCTTAGAACAAGACCCGGTAGGAATCTAAGAAGTGCATGCTGGAGGAGTAAGTGAATGGACGGAAAGAATGAGCACATGAAAGAACAAGTCAGAGTATTTACAGCTCGCAAAATAATTAGAATTGACAGTCTGATCATGTGACCGTGGAGAGAAAGAGGGTGAAGAGGGGGTGTTACTTTCCTTCTTCATCGGAAGGCAGTTTTAGACCTCCCTGGAAAGCACAGATGGAAAAGTCTAAAATTCACTTGAAACCAGAGGGAACATGAGAGAAAGGTCACCCCGGGAACACCAGGATCTTACAAGGGCTACTTGTGGACAAGAACAAAACTGAACATACACAATCTATGCAGAATTACAAAGTATTTATCAGGAGGACACAGGAGAGATGAAACCAGGACTGGAAATCTATTGAGATCTCTGGGTATTTCCTTTCTATGACTTGGGTATCGTGTTATCTCTGAGAGGCAGACTTTCAAAACATCGTCTACATAAAATTCACATATCACGCAGCTTCCAGTTGGGTGTGCGAAGCCTAAACATACCATAGACAAAGAGGCTGAGATACTCAGTCTCTGTTGCAGATTTCTATACAGAAACCCTGACAGGCTGAGATTGTCATGTGTCCACTTGGGCCATAGCTCAATCAGTGAGTCAGAGGCACAGAAGAGTCAAAAAGCTGCAGAGAAGACATCACTGAGGAGTTAACTGGGAGGAGCAGACAGCTCATGGGTCCTGGCAGGTCCCCCAGAACATTTGCGCCAAGTGGCTGGGCAAAATGTCACATATCTGTAATCCTAGCATCCCAGGAACCTGTTGTAGGAGGACCACAAGTTCAAACTCAGCTTAGGCAATTCAGCAAAAGACTGTTTCAAAATAAAAAAGGGACTGGACGTATATCTCAGTGTGAGGACCGTGGGTTCAGCCCCAGGTAACAGACATACACTTGCACACACACACATAGCCTGCAGAGGGCTATTTCTGAGATGGTTGCCCCCATGAACAAGGTGATGTCTTGCAAGATAGAAAGTGGTGGCACATGGTGCAGTGGATGTCAAGTCAGAATGACAGAGACAGGAAAGGGCAGTGGGGAAAGAGAATCGGCTTGGAGAAGTGCACAAAGCTGTGGGTGCACCCTGTGTGCTGTGACCAACGTGACCCTGTCCCAAGAATGCTCAAAAGAAGCAGAGAAAAGAGGACTCTAGTAAATTGGTGGGTGTTAAGGTGCTGTTTGCCAAGCAGTAGGTGCGGTTTCTAATCTGGGTCCATTAGTGTCATTACAAACAGTACAGATGTTACCATAGGGACTTGAAGAAAACAATCAGGTCCAGCCATGCAATTTATTTCCTACTACTGAAGCCCCCACAATTCAGCAAAGTTATCTAAATAGAAAGCTTTATGAAGGGAGAGTCTACAGCGGAGGGCTTGTTCAGCCCTAGTTTGGAGAGGTGTCAATGGGACCATGAGGCCATAATTCGATCGTATCAATAAGTGCACAGTTAAATGGATCCCAGGTGTTGTCAGGCTCCAGGGCATCATAGCCTAGGTCTAAACTGATGGCCTCTAAGTTCACATGGGCCAGTTCCCTTTCCTCTCTGTTTCTTTGCATCCTTATCTGCGCAGTGACAGCAACAGTATCTAAGAAACAGCATAGCAGGGAGAAGTATGATAAGTAAAATAACCGAAAAGTCTGTAATGTGTAGCAAGCCTTATTTACGTTAGTCATTGTTATTACAATTGTTGAGGAGTTACTTATCCAGAGGCAGTACAAGGAGGCTGTTGAAAGGCCACTTTTCAATCACTTTCTGTGACTTTCTGTTTTGCTATATGTTCTCTTTTTGGTGCTTGAATTTATTCAACATTTTACATGCCATAATATGTATGTTTCTTTCATGCTTATTGCGTTCATTTAAGTAGGTGCATAAATATTAAAATAAAACTATTCATTGGTATTGCATGCCATTTACACTGCTGTTTGGGAAACTGTCGAATGCAGCGTACGTGTTTTTGAGTCTGTGAAAGAAGTAATTGCCATTCCTGAATGTCATCAGCGACTTCGGAAGTCTTCCTCAACAGCAGGTTTTGTTCCTGATGGACAGCCTGATCATTGCAACTCTTCAGGTCCTTTCAGTGTCACGTCATCTTTGTTCTATATCATATCCTACGTCTGAGTTATCCTGGCTAAAAGGACACACCGGGACCTTCTGCATCTTTTTATGCTGTCCTGTCAAAGGTGACATCTTTTTCCAGAGATTGGTCCATGTTACAAAAATTATTGCAGAATGAATCCCATTTATCTAATTGACTGACAAACAATTTTCAGAAGTGAAAATTTCTACTTTAGCTGATAATTTCTTTCAGAATCTGAATCTAGAGGTTTCTCCACTCTCCTGTCTTGTCCTTGTCATGAAGTTAGAGATATGCTGCAAACTGCAATGCAGTCACTGCTGAGACATGCTGGTGTAGAACAAATGCAAGGGAACATTGTGATCATTTTTAAGTCAATCAACTCAGAAAGTGAAGTTGTTATATTAATTGAAAAACATTATTCAAAAATAAGAATGAATACAAATATGCCAATTCTGATATTTACTAAAGAAATTGGCTTTGCAATTTAAAATGTTTCATAGATTCCAGAACCAGATACATTTTTTGTGAGTTCTATGAAAAATATAAGAAGCAATAATATAAAAGCTATGCAAATTCTTCCAAAGTATTTTGCAAATTTTGTAAAAATTACTTGCCAAACCATTTTATGAATCCATTATTATCTTGTTATAAAGGTAAGAAAAAGCCAGTAAAAGGTAGAAAATCATAGATCAACATTTTTTATAAATATAACTGGAAAACTTTTTATAAAATACTTGCTTATCAGATCAACATATCACATCCAAATGTGCTTCATTTCAACAATGCATGATTATTTCATGCTTTGAAAAATGTCACTTGGATTTAAATATTGATATAATAAATACTAACCATCATATGATCAGATTAATAGATGCAGAAGAGCATTTAGCAAA